TTTTTTTATATATAATATATTTTGTATATATATATATAAACATTAAATTGATTGATTTATTTCTTAAATAGTATTTTAATATCTAATTGAAAATATAATTTTTGTATGAATTATTTGTTATTTATAATTCGTGTAAATTGTTTTCAATGAATATTACGAAGTAAAAAATGATCCGTAAAAATAAAAGTTAACAAGATCATCGAAACTATTTCACTAAGTACGAAAGAATTTATTTGACTGTCTCGATAATAATTATCGACTTTAGAGAACTCGAGAATCATTCCTAATACATAAACTTCGAAATTTCTCGGATAAGAAGCTTAATTAAAGTCTTAATTAAGAATCGGCTTTTTCTTTCTCGAACGCGAATGTCTCTAAGATCTATTCGAGAGTTCGTGAAAAAAAAAAAAAAAGCTAAAGAAAATGAAAGAAAAAAAGAAAGAAAGAAAGAAAGAAAGAGGAAGAGAAAAAAATGTAAAGGAAAGAGCAGTCTCTTTAATAAATTCTCAACGTGAAAGAACACGAGACAATACCAGAGAAAACTCGAGAACGGGACAATAAGATCAAAGAGGTAAAAATAGTAGCAGCAGCAGCAGCAGCAGCAAGCAACAGCACTTTCTTTTCTGAAAAACGTAGATCGAAAATCCGTAAATGTTTCTTCTTATCGCTTATCGTTCAACACGAATATATATATATATATATATATATTTTTCTCTTTCTAATATCTTACATTCCTCGTCACCCTCCTCCTCCTCCTCCTCCCCCTGCTCTTATTATTCTCACTCTTTATTGCTTTTCTCATTCTTTCAATTAAAACCCCAGTCATTTTATTTTTTACCAAAAGAAACTTAATTATTAATTGATCATTCGTGTGATTTATTTTTGTTTTTCTTTGTTTTAAATTATTATAATAAAATTTCGCAAGATTGTATATGTGTGTAATTGTGTATTATAATGTGTATCGTTTAATCACAAATGATTTCTTGAAAATAATTAATATTAATGATAATAAATTTGTCGTTTAATTGAATATCTAATTAAAAATGAATAATATATTAAATCAATATGATTTTAAATTGTTACAGGAAATGCGAGAGTAGTCAAGTTTTCGTGCAAGATCATCACACTCACTGCATAGATACTTGTCGTTCAACTACCATGTGCGGAGAGGTGGTCGTCCCAGAGGACCATCTTGACGTAAGTAATTACTCATTACCTTCGGAAGTAACGTTAATTAAGCCACTAATTTATGATCTTCTCGAAACGCGAATATAGATGCCTCTCATTACGATTTCAAACTAAATTCTACTGACTAATCAATCCCTATATTAACTACATTTAATATTATACGTCTAACTAATCGAATTATCATTTTCAAATATCGATCAATTGGAAATAATTAAAACAAATGGATAACCCACCAATAGATTAAAAATAAATAATATAATAATTCTTCACAAATAAAACACAATTATTTTATCAAAGATATATATGTGTGATAGTAACTCGAATAAAATATTTTACAAAGTTTTAGATTTCTATTTCTTTTTCTATTATTCGTTGATAATCCAAGAGTGTGAAATCTTTTATCACAAAGTCGTAAAAGTGTAAGCAACGTTAATTGGCATAAGAAAAATTAAAGACTCTCTCTCTCTCTCTCTCTCTCTTTTACATCTAAAAAGATTAACGAACTCTACGTAAAATTATTTACCCCATTTGAGTTATTTACTCGAGAGAATATGTTCTTTTAATTTAATTTAAATTTTAATAAATTTTCTTGAATTATCTCATACCTCTGTATACCGATAAAAATAAAATCAATTACAATATGTCGTTGATTAAATCAAAAAGTAATAATTATTCACGAGAATATGTATAGAATTACGTATAAAAAGAAAAAGAAAAAGAAACAAAAAATAGAAATATAATGAAATAATAAATATCATAGTAGTAAATATATTCACTAAAATTCATTATTATTGATGATAAAGGTTCATAGGGAACTTGGACATAAAAAAGAAGTAGAACTGAATTTAACTAAGTTGGACGTTTCGTCCTTTTATTGAGACTTATTCAGCAACTTAATCTTTAAACTTCAGCGTCTTTTTTTATTTAAGCAGACATACATTTCTCTTTATGTTAATATTCCAAACACAACACATCTAAACTTCGTTAATTTGATCGTTATTATTCAAAAACCTCAACAACAACAACAACAAATTATTATTGTTAATCCTAAATCCGTCTAAGTATAATAATATCTAATTAATATCGATGAAATATCTCCGATAACAAGGGATGTTTTTAGAAATGAATTATCGAGAAACCGATATCGACGATGAATATTTATTAACTGACTAACTCTCGATCGGCTTTCAAGCGGAAGGTGCGAATTTCCGCTTTGATACCTTGAATTTTGCTTTCGCAGGTGTGTAGAATTTGCAACGCTACGGGTCACAATTGTCAAGTGGCGGAAGGAAGTAAAGCCGGTCCCGGAATCGACGGTGCGGACTTTGTATTTTATGTGTCCGCCATGCAAACCGAGAGATGTCACAAGGGATTGACGGTTGCTTATGCTGCTCACTGTCAACAGGAAGCTGCATTGGATCGGTTAACTTGCATTTATCTATACATATATAAAATAAGTCGTCTATATGTGTGTCCCTGCCCCCGCCGACCCCTCCCCCCACCCCAAACGTGTATATAAGTATTTTACATTTATTATAAACGTGTGTGTGTATAAATATTTTTTGTTAGATAAAACACAACGATAAAATCCCAACACACCGTTTCCACGTTATCATAGTAAAAATAAATCTACGAACTATTGTTTTATATAAAAAAAAAAAAATGCAAATCTAGCTTAGAATGAATTTTTCCATGAATAATTATAACTACAAAACAATACCGATTACAAAACAACAATGTTTCTATATCATTTACATAAAACACGAATAAAAAAAAAGAGATAATATTTATTTAAAAAAAAAAAAAAAATAAAAAAGAAATAGAGAAAATTAAAATATTTATACGCGAATAATATATCTATCAAAAAAATATTTTTTTTTTTTATAATCACGATATAACTATTGCTTATACAATATATACTATATAATATAATACCCCCTAATGTTTTTAAACCTGACAAAAGAATATTCGTAAACAATGAATAAACGAAATACTCTCTCTCTTTTTTTTTTTGTACTTTCAACGATGTAACCTAACGTTGAATGAAATTTTGCCCTCGGATTTAATCACCGTCGCTTAAAACGAGCCCTACCCTCCCTCCGGGGTGTTACATAGAATCTAGCTAGGGAACGATTTGCTACGTTTGATAGATACGCCAAATTTAAATATTCGCTCCGATTTGCAAGGCAGATGCGAACGCGTATTGTCCACTATCTCGCGTTTCCAACCACCCCTCTAACCAACCCCTCGACTATCCTTTCCACCCCCACCCGACCCACACCCCCGCACCTTACACCTGTCTCTATCTTTTTGTCATTCTATCTCTCTCTCTCTCTCTAACTTTCTATTTTTTTATATATTTATATGTCCACACTCTCGCGTTTCCAACCCCCTTCGACCATCCTTTCCACCCCCACCCCCACCACGCACCTTACACCTGTCTCTATCTTTTTGTCATTGTATCTCTCTCTCTCTCTCTCTCTCTCTCTATCTTTCTATTTTTTTATATATGTATATGTCCACTATCTCGCGTTTCCAACCCCCCTCTAACCCCCACCACCCACCCCCGCACCTTACACCTGTCTCTATCTTTTTTTCATTGTATCTCTCTCTCTATCTCTCTCTTTCTTTCTAGTTTTCTATATATGTATATATGTCTATATCTTTTTTTTTTTGTTTTTCGCAAACCGTTCATATTTTTTCGATGATCGATTCGCGCATTCGAGTTATAATGTAACACCACTTTATTGAAATTGAATATTTTTCAATATAGACCACGTACGCTTCGCTACTCACTTTTATCTCCTTCCACTGATTTTCCTTCTCACTCTCTCTCTCTCTCTCTCTCTCTCTCTCTCTCTCTCTCTCTACTTCTTTATTCCTTTTTTTTTATCCTTTTTTCATCCTCGAACGTGCGAAATTCAAATTTTCCGACCACTTTCGAAAATTCTCTCATACTCGTTTTTCCACGAATATCCGAAAATTCGTTTAAACGATTTATATGTGTGTGTGGTAAACTATAATTCGTGTAAAAGTTTTAATATTAATTTGAAATTCGATACGTCCTATTTTGTTTTTTTTTCTTTTCGATTTATTATCACGAATTTATTCGCGATTTAATTTGACGAAACATTTTATATTGATTTGAACAATTGTTTCCGTTCTGATTATTTTCTTTCTTTTTTTTTTTATAATTTCACGAAATAATTCCATTTTCATTTTAGAACAAGCTTCACGTTTATCAATTCTGTTAGCAATGGTGCCAGACGTTGTTGCTTTGTCTGTTGGCACGTAAATGAAATATCACCATCGTGTGTGTGTGTGTGTGTGTTGTACTATATCTATGCATTTATTATACAAAAAAAAATATCTCACACTTAAATTAACAGTAAAACATTTAACGAAAAATGAATTTTATGAAAAGAATATTGATGCATAATTTTGTATACGAAATTAGAAATAATTTTTTTTGTATCGATTGAACGCACAAAATTGAATTTCAAAGTCGAATTATTTCAATCCACCCACGTAACACCACACCCACCGTTGTACTATAAATAAAATACAAAAATACAAGATTCAGTTGAAGAAAAAAAATTAACGCGACGGCCTTGAAACATTTCTCGAACGTTTATCCTACGTAGAAAATTATTTTTACCGCCGCGTGCTTTTTCTTCTCCCTTTTTTTTTTTTTTTTATCAAACAATTTGTCTGAGAATATTCTTGTTATAATTTTAATACCTCGTGAAATATATTCAATCGTTTTGTAATACCTTATATAAATAAATGTATGAACGCGTATTTACACGAGAGAATAAAGAAGGGAAGAGACAAAAAAAAAAAGAAACAGAAACAGAAAAAAAAATTAAATTTCTCGCTAACAGTAAAATGAAACGAACGAAGCAAATAATAAACATCGAAGTATTTCTTGTTTCACATAACGGGAATTTATTCGGCGACCAACTTAATTAACGTTTTCTCTTTTACCTCGATATTCCTTTATAAAGAAAAACCCCGTATCGATTATATACAGTGGAGAAACAAATTATTGAGGAATACGTTAGAGAATCGCGAGAAAATTTCAATTCGCGATTTATTCATTGAGAAGCTTTTACTCTTTAACAATATATATATATATATGTATCTACCTCCGGTTTAAAAGGACGCATAGAAATGAAAGAAGAATCGAACGTTCCACGTGATTTAATATTTCCAAAGCAATCTATCAAACTTCCGTGAATATTTCAAAAGCATTACGATTTCTTCCTTCGATCGATCGAAAGTGAATTGAATTCATCCGTCAGTGGCACGTGTCACGAATAATATATCGAATTCGACTCTTAAAACTTTTCTTTCTTTCTTTCTTTATTTTCTTTTATCTTTTTTTTTTTTTTTCTATTTTTCTATGATAAAACTACATATATTCGATTGTCTAGAAAGTAACTATTACAGATTTATTAAAC